TGCAACTCGTATAGGCTGTTTATCATCGTGTTTCACGTAACTATCCACCTACATTGACAAAACAGTACACAGACAGCTGATGAGTTGACTGTGAATAATGAGCGACCAGGACGAGTGGTCCTGTGCAGAAGATGGGCCGGCGAGCTTGAGGTGGCAATTACTTACGCTGCGCTTCATACTTTGCGAGCGCCCACCACCGACTAGGAAAGCATGGCTATCGATTTGGCGAACGCCAGCGTCTACCAACGTCCAGGAGGGAAGAGTATGAGGAAGTAGGAGGGAACAGACAGCTAGCTTAGGCGTCATGAAATTAAGGCGGGTGCAGCCGCTACAGCACAGAATTATGAAACTTATTACACCGTATTGTGTAGTATTACAGTATGACTGCACAAACCACAATTTCACAACGCCTGACCCGGCGTCTGCTCCCTCCTATTTTCCCATACTCTTCACTCCTAGTCGTTGGTAGGGCGCTGCCGCACAGTACGAATGCAGCCTCAGCAGTGCTTCAGAAGCTGACAGTTGTGTCACTCGACCACCTCCCTCCAAGCGGAGGCAAGACTCAGTAGAGGGATGTCAATCTTTCCTATCCCTTCAACATTCAGAATCAGGCAGCCGGGCAGGACAACGCGTGTTTCACGTGCGCGGCGTCGTTTGCGACCCCTAACGCGGCATTTGTCGATTGCTTCGGGGCCATTCCACTTAATTTCACGCGCACTTTTCGGGATTACTGTATATCGTCTGCTCTCCTGAAACTTATAACTTCGTCATTTGCTACCGTAAAGCCGAAGGCGAAGCGTAGAAGGACTACACCAGTGTTGATCGGTGGCACTGAATGATGCTGTTGAACAACAACATACAAATACGGGTGAAATCCATTACATTGCAAGAGAATGTGATGTTCTTATTACTGGATAACGTGGCAGAAGCTCAACGAAAAGCGAAAGTTCAGTTAAAGCTAGCATGTGGTGCCAATATGTGATCTACTGAATCGAAGAGAATATTCGTGGATTCAACAAATAACCTTTCGGATATGAATACTAATTAAGCAGGATTAAATATATTCGTACTACCTATTACTATAACATTATATACATACTATAAGAGCAGAGTATGTGCGTGGAGATCAAGGAACAACGATTTGTGACCAAAAGGATATATTATAGCAGAGTCTATGCTTGCCGAAATAGCGCCTACAATCAGGATTGCAGCACTATAAGCATATTTACAGACAAAAAAGCAACTGATCTCCCTACAAAGCATCTATTCTAAATTACAGTTTTCTTTGCAACCCAAGGTGTCCCAGAATACATCCGAAAAAATGGAAAAAAATATGAAAAAACCCACTTGATGGGTATTGGAATGTGAAGAGCCAATTCTCGTCAACACGCAACGTTCTTCCTGTGATTCGAGCATAGAATTCGTAACATTCACGCGGGAAAAGGTTTGTATGACCAAAGGAGGTAATGATGTTCCTGACAACTTCCGATGCCGTTTTAAACCGTTGCACATCCTCAAATTTGACCTAAAATTAAACTGGTAAGTACGATCAATACTAGTTATAACTGTCATGTTAGTTCCAGTTCAGGCCAAAGGATGTCTCAATATGTCAGGAGGTCCTACGACAGTGAAAACAGCAGTGCTGCAACCGCAAAATCGGCTCATTCCTTAGGATCAGGATGGCAGCGCTAAGCGCAAGTTGGCTAAAGAAGCATTCCTTGTGCGAAGTCTTGTGAATGCTGTAAGGCTATGGGACAAAATTCGATGGGCTGAGAGGGTCAGGACAAGTAAAAGAGGCGTAGTAGCGTATTCGCCTGGTCAGCTGGATAAACGGGTCCGAGTCCCGCATGGGGTCTGACTTTTGCCCATCCACTCAGAATTTTTGTG